TGTCTGTGTGTGTTTGTGTGTGTGTGTCTGTGTGTGTTTGTGTGTGTGTCTGTGTGTGTGTGTGTGTTTTTTTTGTGTGTGTGTGTGTTTTTACACCACACCTGTGTTTCTGTAGATGTTAGCAGTTTGTCCACACATCTGACATTTATAGCATCTTACAGGTTAAAAGTCGTACATCTGAAGTCATGAAGCCTGTCACAACTTTATCTCTGAGTTCAAGTAAAAAATAAATTATTTTTATTTGTTTATTTCTGACCGTCTGCAGTTGTTGGACTCCTCAAACATCTCCTACAATAACTGTCTTCATCTGAAGCTTTTCTGCTATGAGAGCCTGAAGTTACTCCTCTCTGCAGACGACTCGTTGTTGTTGTGGAATAAAGCTAAGCTTTGACAAACAAAGATCAGGTTCGGGTTAGAACCTATCAGAACCTGGGCTGGTTCTCTATCCTCCAACACTTTCTTCATGTCAGGTAAATACTTATTAGCAGGTTAGGATTAGGATTAGGATTAGGTGGTTCTTGTCCTGCTTTAAATTTAAATGCTTTTGAAATTTTCCACCATCTCCTTCTTTCACTTCTTCCTGACCTGAGGAGCCCACGGTGCAGCCCCCCTACAACCACCACCCGTCTTCATCCATTCTCGACCCAAACGAGCCCGAACCGCCTTCAAACGTTCAAACCGAACCGGACGGTACCGAAGCWCTCACCTGATAATCAGCCGCTGATCGCTTTAACCCTCCGCTCGTTTCGAACAGGAGTTCAGTTTTCACACGCGACACAAGACGCACATGAGTGACGTACTTGCTCCTTTTCCGGTTTGTCTTTTCAAAATAAGGTAAATAAAAATATTTTGTATTTATAATGTGGATATATTCAGATTGGTACTGTATACTGATAAAACTACTGAAGTAAAACACGTTTGTGTTGCAAGATAATTGGACATGTTAAGTTCTCAATATAATAAATGAAAAAAGTACCAGAGCAGTTTGACCATTACACTGTTGATAAAACACAACACAGTGAAGCAGTTTGTGGAGCTTCGTTTAACAAATAAAGGCCTGTTAAAACTCATTTAATTCATTTATTTACCGTAGTTTAACCAGGTTAATCCCTCTGAGATCACAGATTATTTTCAAGAGAGCGCTTGGCCTGAAGGCAACCTATTGTACATGTTACATTATATTATATTATATTATGTTATGTCATGTTATGTTATCTTATGTTATGTTATATTATATTATATTATGNACACAACAACAACAACACAAGCATGTGTTGGATACAAGTGTTAGGACACAACAACAACAACAACAACACAAGCATGTGTTGGATACAAGTATTAGGACACACAACAACAACAACACAAGCATGTGTTGGATACAAGTGTTAGGACACACAACAACAACAACACAAGCATGTGTTGGATACAAGTGTTAGGACACACAACAACAACAACACAAGCATGTGTTGGATCCAGCAGACCTGTTCATGGTGTCAGGAAGGTTCTGCTGCCTGAAGCCTAGGGTCAGTTAGGGTCAGTTAGGGTCAGTTAGGGTAAGGGGTTAGTTAAGTTAGTTAAGCTAAGTGTTAGGGGTTAGTTAAGTTAGTTAAGCTAAGTGTTAGGGGTTAGTTAAGTTAAGGGTTAGGGGTTAGTTAAGTTAGTTAAGCTAAGGGTTAGGGGTTAGTTAAGTTAGTTAAGGTAAGTGATCCACAGAGGACAAGCAGACTTTACCTTCATGTTCCAGAGGTCAGAGAAAAACCTTTGGCGTCTCCTTGTTCCCATGGGTGTGTTGTGGAGCGACACTGCTACTCTCTTTGCTATTCGCTTGTCTCTGAACTCCACCCATCCTTCAACAAAACTACAGCTTCCTGAGCCGGACTTCCTCTTCTTCCTCCTCACCTGTCGGTCTGCACAGCACAATACACGAC